AAAAAAAAAAAAAAAAAAAGACATGTCTACAGATTGTGTAATTAATATATAGGGCAAATCTCCAAAATAGCACATTTCTAAGTTTATGTCACAAAAATAGTCCTCAAAAACTAAAATGAATAAAATAGCATTTTATCTTTTGAAACTTTTAAATATTTTTAAAAATTGAAATCTTATCCCGAAAACGCCACTCCCCAACTCTAAACCCTAAACCCTAAATTCTAAATCCTAAACCCTAAATCTCATCCCTTAACCCTAAACTCTAATGTCTAAATTAATTTATCATTAGAATATAAGTGTATATTTATCTCTTTTGATAAAACATTAAGTGATATTTTTGTTATTTTTATTTTTAAATGCTAGATTTGTGACAAACTTTTTTTTAGTGCTATTTTAGTTATTTTCTTTAATATATATGTTAGTAAAACCGAGAAACACTATATATGAACCACATGTTGTATTAAGAGCTTGAGAGTATTTTCTGATTTACATCTGTTTTTTTTACATCTTTTTCCCTTCTTATACTAACTGTAAAAAGGAGTTGTTGATGATGATTCCATATGCTACAGAAGCTGTTTCTATACCATCAGCGAATGCCTAAGCTCCTGCCATTAGAAAACAATAAGGTATAAACACTTGTTGTAGCAAAACAATGAATCCACACAGCAATGAAACGAAAGATAGTGGTTGGCATAAATGACTTCACTAGCTTACCTACTAGAGGTCCATTGCTGGTTTGTTTCAGTTATTATTCCGCTATGACCAGATTGAATATGTTGTCCAGCTGAAGAAACCGTTTTACCAGATTCCACTCTTGTTACCTGCATTGGATGCGTTTTGATACAAGAAATTAAGAAACCACTGGTGTAAGTGGTTGCACGCTGCTTTTGTTTTCAATTAAGTTTAGAGCTAACCTCACTCCCTGCTTGAAAAGAGTACACTCTATTTTCTTTGAAACCCTTATACCATGAATAGATTGCAACTCCATGATTAGACTTGGAAAATGGAAATAAAATAGTCAAGTGAAACTGAGGGTTCACTAGCTGTACCTTTGCTAGAGGAAATCTTGTGCGAGATCCACTGTTTTGCTTTCTCTCGGGTTTGATGGAGAGCTGTAGATTAACAAAACCCGGGTCAAGAAACTATGAGAGTAATCAAATAATAATAGTGTGTTTAAGAAAGATCATACGTTAAACCACGAGCTTTACCTTGCTGAAAAGGTCTGTTGGTAAATCTGGTTGAACTGTCTTTTCTGTATTAAAACTAAACTCCTGTGTTGCATTCCAAAAAAAAAAACAGTTTGCATCCTCATCAGGACGCTATTTACAGAAGATGAAGTGCAAAGAATAATTGTTAAGACTACCATACCAAAGGTACTGTTGTTTCTCGTTTGCTATTTTTGAAGACGCCCATGTCTCCTCTGCTTGAAAGTATCTGTTTCACAGGAGTGAAAACCTATATAAGGTGTGAAAACTATAATAATGAAAGCGGATGAGACTCAAAAAAGGATACCTTCTTGTTCAGAGGACGAGCTCTAAAAACGTGTTTTCCTTCCGAGACATCATGTTTATTTATATCCATAGCGCTTGGTCTGCAAGAAAAACGAAACTTTTAAGTTGAACACAAGTTGAAGTGAGAAATCAAGCAATCAATCTTAATTTTCGAAGTGGCTTTATGTCATACCTCCTACTTTCCCTGTTAATACCGTCAAGTGCATCAGTTATATTAGATTTTTCTGACCCCTGTTAAAAATAAATTTCTTTTTTAAGGATCGTGTTGTTTAGATGAGAGAATAACTTTTTAACTTATGGTTGCTACCTTATACGCATCATTCCCCTGATTAGACCTTGTTTTTACTGCTGAAGAATGTTGCATAGCTCTCTCTGAAGTCTTCAAATGGAATTCCTGTTAAGTAAAGTCAAGAAATATAATCACCATATTATAGTGAGGAAACATTTCATAAACTGATACGAATTCATTTCTAATACTTACTTGGAATGCAGTTGGTTTCGGAATACTCTTTTGCCGGACGGGCAATGAGGGAGCATCAAATATCTAGAGATCACAAAACGAGCTTGAGTTGGCCAGGACAATGGAATCATTTCCAGTACACATTTCTTAGTAGGAGATACAAACCTTTCGGTTGAATGGGCGTGCTTTGAATCTATATACAGTTGTTGCGTCTTGTTCTAACTTCTCTTCATCCTTGTGCCTGAAATAATTATTAGCAAAACATCCTCTCAATACCAGTTCCTGTAACAACTTATTTTCAGCAAATAGTAAGGCTCTAACCGTATCCTGTGTGCCCTCCGCGATGTAGCAAAATCAGGCTCCTGTGGGACAGTACTCTTTGTCCTGGCATGTTGTGAGTTTCTATCAAGAGTTGTATCCTACAAAAACCATTATGCAAATAATTAAACAATTTACATCTCAGTAAGGGCTCTCATTTCATCAGAAAAAATTGAATTCCATACACAGATCACTTTCTAGATTCTGGATTTAATACGTAAAATCAAAAGAGTATAGAAGCAATGGTAATCAAACCTTCTTGGGTATCTTGTGAACAAAACTCATCTCAGGCTTTGTATCAGCAACCTGAAATAGGATAAAATGTCTTTTACTGCAACTAACTTCAGCTAAACATAGTACATTGTTAGAACTTAAAAGGAACCAACTATACACTGTTTTTATCCATGATGATAACTCTACCTTACGAAGAAGACCTCCATCAAGCTTCTGTCTTTTGGCCGCTTGAACTTCGGTCCCACATAAGCCTTTATCATGAATCTGGTCCACTTGCATATGAAATTTACTATACAAGCAAAAGAAGGTACTTCTTAGGTAAATAAAAGTAAAAAAATACAAGGATTTAAACATGCTTCCCACAGTCGTACCTGACATGATTTTGTTTAGCCAACAGACTAGCAGTGGGCCTCATTAAGGTTGAACTCCTTGGAGTAGGTCTGATGCTTGACTTGGCCCGGAACTTTGGTTTGTTATCATTGTGGTTGTGATTGCTAACCGTTGGCGCTGGTAAAAGTAGAGAGACCACAAACAAACTAAAAGTAAATACCAAAGATGGACCACATCAAAAAGGAACCGATGAAACGTTAACTGATTTTTCAAGATAATTAAAGAGCCATAATGTATAAAGCAAAATCAATAACTGAACTATTATAGAAGAAGAAAAAAAAGTGATCACCTTTGCATAATGGTTGGGTTGGAACTTTCTTCAAGTTATTACCTTGTTGGGATGAAAATACCCCAAAACGCATCCCACTCCCTAAAGCCAAAAAAAAAAAAAAACAAAGCCGTATTGTTCAAGAATCTAAAAACATATTCTTGTGGTCTCCACTTTCTACACCCACACAAACCATAATCTACCAAGAAAAAAAATTGAAGAGGTACAGGTACATAAAGCAAACAGCATTTACTCACCAGTCTTATTCAAAACTGGATTCTGATTGATACTTCTATCCTTCTCACCAACAACATCTTCTGTGACGTCATCCTCCTCTTGTTTCGTGGGAATCTCATCTCCAAGCAACAATTTCGTAACGAAAGCTGAAACAATACAAACACCAAATTCACCTTTAATTGTTTTACAGAATTAAAAAAATAAAATAAGAGTGATTACTGACTCAAAGAAAATAAAGAAACTAAATTGCAAACCTAAACATAAATGTGATCACATTGTTAATAAATTTGCAAAGAAAGAAGCAAAAGCCAAAAGCTTATGATGATGAAGAAGAAGATACTCACGAGAGGGCGCGTAGGAGGGAGCAGAGTGAAACCAGAACTCGGCGGCCTGAGACTCCGCCGGTGACTCCTCCCGTGTGAAATCGAACCACCGAGACGCATCAAACTCGTACTCCATATCAATCTCTCTCGCCTCAAACACCGTTGCTTCCATTTCCATATCTTCATCCATCTCCATCTCTTCTCTCTCTCTCTCTCTCCTTGGTGGTGACAATGTAAACAAGGAGCAGTTACATACAGTCACCGATCGTCTTCTGCAAAAACCCTAATTTTCTACAGAAGATCACTGATTCATCGGGTCTGATTAAGAACAAAACGGCACAAATTTCGCTGTTTCAGAGATTCTGGCTTACCGCAAAAAAAAAAAGAATATTTATTCTAATTTCTATTGGAAACTCTCCGGAAACGGCATCGTATTGTGACACTGTGATGTACAAACGACTCCAAGCACAAAAGCGAGAGGACGCTCCGGTTTTTGTAACGACTCGAAATTTTTGAATTGTAATTAAGACTTGACGGAAGACGATTCTACCCCTGCGAGTTTGAATGTGTGTGAGGGTGTTTTCGTTAATTCCCTATAAGTGAGGTTTTTTTTTTGTCTTACGTGGGTCTCTTCGAGGCGCGTCTCTGGGTCTGCGAGCTTTTCTTGACCTTCGACGACACTGTTATTCCGGCTGGATCGATAATTACCCTCCAGTCTTGTCTTTATTTACGTATCTGCCACTAACGGTTGTATTCTTTTGTCAGCTTAATCACCTGCCAATTTGCGCTTTCTCAGTAAAAAGCTGAACATATCTATATTTATGAGTTTCATGTTAAAAGAAAAAAGAAAGTAAGTAATAGTGATTGAAACTTCACTTTTTTCACTCATGTGAAATTATAAGATATATTTTCAAATGATGTTTTTTTTTTGTAAGAAATTGGGAGAAGAACTCCCAAACTTTATTCAAACAAACTACATCAAGCCAGTAATCGAGTCTGTCGTGGCCTTAAAAGGCCATCCACATCCTTCTTTAACAGCGTAAGAACATCTAAAGGAGCAACATCAAGTCTATGAAATGATGTTAGGATAAACATATACAATAGGCATCTGTTTTAAAATGAGAGTAATAATTATCAAATTTATAAATTCTAAAATTTTCCCCTTTTTTTTGTGTGTGTGCAAAGGCAACACTTTATTGCATTGCTAGAGAGGGGTGATAGAAGCTTTTTTACATGGAAACTGAAATCTTTCCTTCTTAAAGTAACATTTTCAAAATGATATATTTAGATCATTATATAAAGTAATTTTGAAATCAGTTTCATATGACAATGAGGGTACGTGTGGACACAACTTTGAAGTTGACTGTGAATTTTAATAAGTTATCCATCATTTTGTTTTAAGCAAAACTTGTCATTTAATACGGTTCAATGGGAGAGTACACAAAGACCTAAATTTGTGTAAAAGAAAAGGACAAATTATCTTTTTTGGTTCTTGGGGTAGGACAAATTTTGAAAATCTAATAATATGTTTTGAAGGCATAAGTTTTGTTCAAAGGGTTTTGGGTTTTGGACCAAAGCTACTTTTGGGAGTACAAAGATACATTTATTTGTGGGAGATGTTGGTTGAACATTTGCAAAGGTAGTAAATGAAAATTTAACTAGATATAGAGAAAAACTTGATTCATAGGCACATATAATCAAATATCTTGTCACATTTACTTATATGTACTATATTTATACCATATCTATTATTTGATGATGTTTGTATTCATTTACTTGGCCTCACATGATCCCCATGACCAAAAAAACATGCAATTATATTCTTCTTTATCCATCAATTAATAAGTTCGTTTTCTTACATTTACACCCAAAAAAATTATTAATATGTTCGAAATAAATTAAGTTCATTCAAATATATTAAACTTTGCTCTGACAAGATTCTTATAAATAATTTCATTTTGACATATAGAAGAAATGTAAATTATTCGAAGATTCCCTCATTTTAATCGTTTCCCAATAACACTGCAAATAACAAGAATCTTTTCTCATTCATGTCACAATAATTTGATCTGTTCATACTGGTTAGCCATATTTTTCGTCTATTTTTTTTTTAACTATTTAATAACAAAAGGAAGAGCCAATGAGACGAGGAAAAAAAAAGCAGAGCTCTTTCACATACTGGAGCAGACCTGAACTAATATAAGAGTAATGTTTCAGGTTAAAAGCATAGAGACAAAAGCAGCAGCTCAGAGTTTGTCACGTGGATTTGATTGCAACAATGGTTCTCCCTCTTTCTTCATGGTCTCCACAGCTGTAGTGGTAGCTACAGCTCCTAAAAAGCTGAGAATGTTGTGTGTAGCCGAAAGGCCGTGTTCATCTGCAGAAGATGCGTCTGCTGATATCTTTACAAGATTCCCTTCAACACATACACATAAACGAGGAGAGATCTATCTCAGTGGACATTGACAATACATGATCCAACAGTGAAAAATGGACTTAATCAATCTTCTAGAAGCTAACCTTGCATGACATAACCGTACATGTTTTTAGGTAAAAACTTTGCACGTTGTTTTCAAATAAACTTGCACGATCTAACAGCTAATCCACATAGACAAGATATATGAAGAAGAAAAAAAAGGATTGTTTTCATTATGTCACATGTAGAAAAATTCAAAAACAACATCACCATCTATAAATGGGCCGGGTTTGGGCCTGACGGGACCAGGAATTCCCGTGTGAGAGATAGACAACATATTTCATGTCTTTGACCTCCCCCGGTTACTCCTACTTCGGAGATTCGCCACCACTTCTTACGGCCAACAGTCGTGAAAATCGCAATATAGATCAGATGACTGTGATCACAACTCCCATAGAAACTCTACATCTAAAGTCAACACTTGGTCTTCTACCACGAGGAGCTTTCCCTCGAAGTCAACGTGTTCAACTTCTCCCTCTCAACACCTTCTCAAACTCTTCTTTTACTTCTCCACCTCGCATTGTCTCTCTTTCTCAAGGTCTTATAGTTCACCTTATCAATCACTTGTTTGCTTGTTGGGTACTTGCAAAGTTTACTCCTTTTCCTCTCTCTCATCGTGTTCTGCAACTACTTACAGGTTGGGGATCGAGAGATTTGTGGCGTAGATATGCATCCGACAAGTTCTCAGATATGGGGTTGGATCCTGGAGTTGGTTCAGACAAGGTGCAACTTCTTGATCTTACCTCTTTTTCTGTGTTTGGTTTGATTTGATTTGAACGGTTGAACTTGGAGGTTGTTTAGTTAGGTTTATATGTTTTGTTGATTCGAACCAATTGTTTGAATGTTCATGTTTTGTTTATTTTCTATCCTCAGATGTTTAATGAGACGGCTTCTATAGTGGAAACATTGAAGAAAGCAAACTCAATCCTTCCTCATGTAGTGTTGGCTAGTACAATCTTAGCTCTTGTCTATCCTCCTTCTTTCACTTGGTTTACCTCCAGGTTCTTCTCCTAACACTTTTGAGGACTTGTCTTTTTCTTTTAAAAAAAAAAAACTCTTTCTTACTTACTCTCTTGTTTCTTTTAAGGTACTTCGTACCTGCTTTAGGCTTCTTGATGTTTGCTGTCGGTATCAATTCAAACGAGAAAGACTTTCTCGAAGCCTTCAAAAGACCAAAAGCTATACTCCTTGGCTATATCGGACAATATCTCATTAAGCCTCTGCTAGGTTTCATCTTTGGCTTCGCTGCTGTCTCTCTTTTCCAACTCCCAACTCCTATAGGTGCTGGAATCATGTTGGTTTCTTGTGTTAGTGGAGCTCAGTTATCAAACTACGCTACTTTCTTGACTGATCCAGCGTTGGCACCTCTTAGCATCGTCATGACATCTTTATCAACCGCTACTGCGGTTCTTGTCACACCGATGCTGTCACTCTTGCTTATAGGGAAGAAACTACCTGTAGATGTCAAAGGAATGATTTCAAGCATTCTCCAGGTCGTAATCGCACCCATTGCTGCAGGATTGCTACTAAACAAGTGAGTAGAATATAGAAAATAGAATGATATAAGCATAAGTTATTTCTCAAAGTTTAAGCATCTTTATGTCTTCAGGTTGTTCCCAAAAGTATCCAATGCAATCAGACCGTTTCTCCCAGTTCTGTCGGTTCTTGACACGGCATGCTGCGTTGGAGCGCCACTAGCGTTGAACATAAACTCGGTTATGTCTCCCTTTGGAGCAACCATCTTGATGCTAGTAACAATGTTTCATTTCTCAGCTTTCCTCTCTGGATACTTCCTTACCGGTTCAGTCTTTAGAAACGCTCCAGACTCTAAAGCCTTGCAAAGAACATTGTCTTATGAAACTGGTAACGAACTTAACTAACTCTATGGTTTTATGATTTGGTTTTAAAGTTTTTGAGAAGAGAAATGTTTTTTTTTTTTGTTGGGGTTAATATTTTCAGGAATGCAGAGTAGTCTTTTGGCTCTAGCGCTTGCAACTAAGTTCTTTCAAGATCCTCTTGTTGGGATTCCTCCAGCAATATCTGTAAGAAGTTTTTGACATTTGTAGAATCTTCTTTTGGTGGTATATACTAATAGAGAATTGTTTTGTTTTTGCAGACGGTGGTAATGTCATTGATGGGGTTCACACTCGTTATGATCTGGTCTAACGAAAAGGAGCAAAACATTTAACAATGTAAAATTTTGATTATGTACAAACTTCGTGTAACATTATAAGAAATATATTCCACCTTAAAGGACAGTTGGTCGATAGACCCGGTTCAAACTAAACCCGAACTTCAAATATGTGAAAGAAAGAAAAATATTTAACCATAGCGTTTGCTTCACCATACACTGTAGTTTTACCCACTTGGGCCGTTCATGTGCTCCAGAGTTGTTGAATGGTTCTCTTCTTTTTCCTTGCTTTATAGATTCAAATTCCATCTAAGGCTAAGAAGCTCTTGGTTAACTGTGATATTTGTTTTTGCTTCTTTATTCTCACTTACTGTTGTAGTGGGGGCTTGTTGCATTATTAGCAGAAAGATCTTTGGTTCAGGTGAAATGTGGTATTAGCAGAAAGATCTTTGGTTTATGTTTCTAGTGTCCACAGGAAACATTTTTCATGAGCTTGTCTTTTTTTTTTGAACTAGTTGCATATTCTCCGCGCAAGCGCGGAGCCGGGATCATTATGTTTGCGTGTATTCTTTTCGATTGTTGATTTAGTGGATTCTTCTAATGACACCAATTAATAATGAAATGAAAAATTTCATGTTTTTATATCGTATGTCAAAACTTGATATAATTCTATATTTATAGTATTTATATTTGTATTAAACGATTTATCAATATGAAAATAACCTTAATTAAGTTAATATTCGTTGTTTAAATTTCATTAGATAGGTTTTTATATATGGTTTTTTGTAAGTTTCGGTTTTGTTCATAAATGATGTGGCATTTTTATCTACGGAGTCATCGACTGTGGGAATTCATTCGCCGAAATCTGGAGTCGGTGGTGAGAAATGTTTTCAATGAAATTATAGTAGTTATTAAAATGTAAGAGAAATTACATATTCATTTAATAAATAA